TTAAGTATTTTTGACCAATTCGTTAAACTAGTGTAGTTTCCAAAACTGTTTATCGGAATTTATTTTCCACAATTTTTCAAAACTTTAATTGAATAAATTTTTAATTATTTCTTTTAAAAATTTTATTAGTCCAAAGGGGCCTTGTCTTTGAAGGACTATTGTTTTCGTTTTGCGATTTTGCGTTCAATCAGTATAAATGCCCGTTTCACTTTTCAAACTGTTGCCACCAAATTTTGTCTGCATTATATTTGATGAAGTCCTGCATTATATTTGAAGAAATTAAATAATGAAAAGTCTGCATAAATATATGTATATTTCTCGCATTGTGATAAAACAACGGTACATACAGCCATCGAATTTTGAATGACGTAATCCTACTGCGAATATGGGCCTGTGGAAGCCCAAATTTGAAATTTGGAATTTGTTTTATTATCGATTTCATATTTTGTGAATCTTTAACGAATTTTTGAGTAACAAACTCAACGATTTAAAAACGAGTAATGGCAACACTCTACGGCGGGGAAAAAAAAACCTTTTTATCTCCAGCGGGCGCGGAACTGTGTATCGGAAATTCTAAAGCTATGCTCATTTTAAAATTATTTTGCGGCATTGCTACTGAACTGAATTTTATGGTTTAAGTGCAAAGAGCATGATATTTAATAAATAAAGGTAACACACAAAACGTTAAAAAAAAGGTCCCTATGGACGTAATTTAAAATCTGAAACCTTTCAGATTTTTTTTTGGGGGGGGGCTTGTTGATCAGTAGAATCATTAGGTTATTCGGAACCAAGAGACGTTGAAAATGTGCAATGACCTCTCCGAGACTCGAACCTGGAGCTCTTGAAAGCGAGCCGAGTGTGCTACAGTTACACCACTAAGGCATACTGAAAGGAGGGAGGAAATACCTTACAGATTATTTATTTGCGCTATTTCCACTATGATTACAGTTTTCAAAATCAAATACCAATTTTAAATAGATTTGATTATCAGGACCCGATGTTTATCTTTTGTTAATTCATTTAGGGAATTCAATTGCCTGATTTTATTTCTTAGGTGACTCATATTGTTGTTTGGAATTTATTTAAATCTGTTTTGTACTTTTAGTCTGATTTTCATCAATTTATTTATTTTTAAATATGTAGGTGTTGAATTACATCAATAAAGAATTAGCTCTTTCAGTTGCAAAATTGTAGAAATTTGATGATTTTAATTTAATTGTTGACAATTTTAAAGTTTCATTATGAAGCTCAGAATCATGGTTGTCTTTTTTCATTATCTTGTGGCACTCCTAAAGAAATGTTACCAGATATGTAACATTTCGTTTTATTTTTTCTTTCTTGTTCCCCTTTTTTAAATAGTTTGATGTACCTTATTTTAATTAAAATTTGATTTTTACAATTTTTTTGAAGCTCCGGCAGTTCTGAAATAATCAGATTTTTTCCTTTATTGTATTGCATTTATATATTTATCTTTTGACCAAATATGCAAATGTTTAAAATTTGGTGTCCAATGAATCAATAGTACGATCTCCAGCGCATCGGAACTGCGCATCCAGCAGATGTATATAAGGAGCTATTCTTGAACTATTGTTAAAAATTTCTGTTGCATTGTGATTTAGGATAACTTTCAATGCCTGAAAAATACTTCGCCGCAGGATTTGAGCTCATTACAAGCAACTGTCAGTTTGTAAGAGGTCGTATCATCGGATTGAATGAGGCAGGTTGGACAAATCGGAGAATCGTTTGTCATATGAGTCGAAGCGATGCAGCGATTAAAAGATGCTGGCAAGAATGGGTGGACAATGACAGATTTCAGCGTCATGATGGTAGCAGTCGACCTAGGGCAGTACCTCCTACATACAGGTACTACCTACATGTAGGAGGTACTGCCTAGGGCCACAAGAGATCGGGAGAACAAAGTGATTGTCTGATCAGCGCCTGATTAATTTCTATCAACCATAAGACGTGCGACCCGCACCCATGTGTCCTCGGTAAACCATTCACAGACGGCTGATAGATCGAAATCTACTCTCGTTCCGACCGTTACGCCACCTGCTAATCACGCTTGCACACTGTGGAGCCAGATTACAGTGGTACTTGGCTCGATCAGGTTGGAATGATTCTGACTGGGGACGTATAGTCTTTAGCGACGAATTCCGCTTCCAACTGTGTTGTGAAGATAATAGAAGACGCGTCTGGAAACTCCCACAGCAGCGTGCCGATCCTGCTTTCACTATTGCACGCCACACAGGCCCTAAGCCAGGAGTTGTGGTCGGGTGCAATATCCCTTGATAGCCGGACTCCTTTGGTCGTCATTAGAGGCACATTTACAGCACAGCAGTACGTCGACAACATTATGAGACAGGTTTTACTACCGTTTCTTTTGCAGTACCCTGGCCTTATTTTTCAGCAAGATAATGCCAGACCACATACGACACGTGTTGCTGTGAATTGTCTTACAGCTTATCAAACACATCCTTGGCCTTGCAGATCGCCAGATCTCTCTCCCATCGAGCCTGTCTAGAGCGATATGATGGGAAAGTGACTGCACCTACCAGGGAATGTTGTTGACTTAGCCCGACAATTGAGCAAATTTGACAAGAAATACTACTGGAGACCATCCGGGAGTTTTATCAGTCTATACCACGCCGTGTGATAGCTTGCATATAAGCTAGAGGTGGGTCAACACCTTATTGAGCTCGTTACTTTGTAACTATGTAACTATGAAATAAATCATTCAATTGTTCTGAAATTTTAATCATTTTCTATTCTGTACATAATCTGCCTATCCATCAATTTTTGTCTCCATCGGACAACTCCTTCTTAGTGCGTCGATGTTTTGTTATAGAATGTAATTTTTACTTCTACTTTTTCATTTTCATTAAACAGTTTTTTTTAATATTTTCCAAATTTACTATTCAATTTAGTGCTTCTACAACTTTCATGCCTTAAAACTAGCTTACAATGTTTCACTTAATTAACTTGCAAAGTTTGAGTCATTTGCATTACTCACATTCTGTCTAATGATCGTTGCTGCTTTCAAAATTAGTTTTACTTGATTTATGCCAACCTTTTCTTTTGTTTTTATTTATTTCCTTATTTTTAATTCACGTTTTTTAAATCCAATCAAACACTTTCATTAATTTTAATATCGCTCATTAGTGAACCGGATCAATAGGAATTAAGAATATTTTTGATTGTTTTTATTAACTTTATGAGCTTTTTAGACATTTCTTTTTTCATTTGTAAAATTAAAGTGCATTGACGTTAATCAATTTTATTCATTTTGTTACTTGCCGCCCAGACAGGTAAGTGATTAGTGACGCTGACTGCGGTACCGAAGGGCGTGGGTTTAAATCCTGGAGAAGGCATGAATGTTTGTAAATGTATAGAGTCTGTGTAGTATGGAGACGTTCAAAATATAAGCGAGCTGAAAGCCCTCTCTAGAGGATGCTGGTAGGAAAAGAGAGTTGAAAGATCCTCTGACCCGTCCCCCGGAGTGCTGTTCTTCAAAAGTGGTGCGGAACTGAGCAAAGTCATACTGTCACCTATTCTGTAAAGTGCTCAAGGCTGTTGCTAACGACAGACATAATCTTGTAGTCCTTGAGCCGAAAACATTTGCGGGCTTATTCTGATTAGGTCAGACCAGTGAGATTAATCACGACAGCACACATTTTGTTACTGGTTTGAAGATCCCTTTAATTTAATTTCCCTACTTTGTGTGTAAGCACGTAAGTGCTTCACTAATGGATCTTTTTCCATTATCAGGGCTTGTTTTTTAGCATTTTTTATTTTTTTGGCTACTGCAACTAGTTATATTTGCAGTTATGCAATTTTGCCATTAATAGTTATTAAAAAACACATCGTTTTGTGTAAGAATTGCTAATTTATATTATTCTTTGCACTAAAACAAAGCTGCTTAAAATTTTACAGTTTTATTTGCACATTTATAGCTCTTTTATGATCAATCCCCAATCTTATAGCTGTTTATGGGTATTTATAGCTATGCTTAATTTATAATTTGTATCAAAAACCCTCATCCACATTTGTTTATCTTCCTTTATTTTTCATTATGTATTATTAACAGCCACAAAGGGGTGGGCTGCAGAGTTTTAAGCCTAATATTGGTACTATCAACTGATATTTTTCCTTTTTTTTCTAAATTACGTAAAGTTCAAATTATGTTTAATGACTGGTAATGGTTGATTGTACATCAAGAGTTTCCCGCCCGCGATGAGACAGAGCATGATAGAAAATTCTATTATCAGTGGATTTATTACTTTTCTTTTCCATTTTTTAAGTTTTGCATTTTCCACTTTAGCTGATTTCCTCCCTAGCTTCATATTCTGATGTTTATTTTACCGTTGACTTACATTTGTACGGTTCCAACAATCGAAAAATATCTACATGTCTGAAACAATACTTTGTTGGCACTCTATTGACTACTCTATTGATAAATTTCAAAAACACAAATTCTTTCGGTTTACTTCCTTACATTTTATACTTTGTTGACATACGCACATGAATGGTATGTAGAGAGTAAAGTATAGCATGCTTATCTAGAGTTTCTATTCAAATCTACTCTCACAGAGTGCAGATTCATTTACAAACAATAAAGTGTTTTAAAGCTTCTTGTTATTTTAATTTATATATAGTACATGATTTGGTCTCAAGTAAAATAATCTTTTTTCTTTTAGATTATATTATTATTTTCCAGATATCTTCTTTAGATTATAGGAATGTAGGTTTTATTGAAGTTGGTGTTAGTGACATTTTAATTTATTAAAACTTTTCCTTTTATGAAAATATTTTCAGAAATCTTTAGTAAGCTACAAGGAATAAAAATTCAGGAAACATTTTTACGCTCTTGTGGTATGAAACTGTATTTTTTATAGCAAATTTCGTTACGTTTTTATGATCGATGTACATTGATGTAAAACATCAAATAGTTTCAAATCTTTTAATACAAAACAAAAGAAAGTCTTTCTTTTTTTTTTCAGGAAGGAATCGAGTAAAGCATATGCTGAAGTGAGCTCTACACAGAATATTTCACATCTACTTGATAGCCTTTTGGAAGGATATGATTACCATCTAAGACCTGGAGTAGGAGGTAAAAAACTTGTTCCAGAATTCTGTTGAGATATTAAAATGTAAAATGATAGACTGAACAGATATACGCTAAATTGTTTTATATTTTGCGTGGTTTACTTCGATAATTTGTACTTATTCTAGGAATTTCAAATTATTTGCACGAATAATATTAATTTAGGAATATCTTCTCATATTATCGTAAAAAGCTTCTGAATTATATTACACATTATTTATGTACTTCGAAATGGAGTACACAGCTGACAGGGTCTTAATATTTCACTATTTCTTCTAAAAACTTACATAACGATTTGAATGTTTATGTGTATTCAGCAATTTGACAGCTTTCTAAGTGTTATTTAAATGCGTAAAATATTCATCTAAGTTACCTGTAATTTGAGATTCTCAGCATAGAAAAGAGTATAATTAACATTTAAGTGTAAATTAAATTATAGCTTATTGCCTGTGAGAAAGCAATTCGCTACTGAAATCTCTCATTTAAATTACTTGTACATAATAAATGTGTGGATTTAAGGTAAGCAGAAACATGTGAATTCAAAATTCTAAATAAAATTAAGCAAATTAACAATAGCAAGAAGCTGAGAAATTTTGAAACAACATGAATATTTTGAAATTCATGCCTGATCGTAAAAAATTCTAATTGTAGAGCACAATAACATAGCTAAAAATAAGTTGATCTTGGATCTGGAGTTTTCGATGGCTGAAAATTAGAGCAGATGTCTTTATATCAGAATGTCAAGCCATTTCCAAATTGGTTTGGTTTAATTGAATACTGCAAAGCACGCAAGGACTGTGTGCTTAAGGGAAGCGAAGGCTTTGTATATCATAAAAGAATGTGCCTCGCGTCCGCGTTATATAGGCGGAAACCACGAAAATGTCCCGGTTAAACTACCAGTGTGCAGCGACTTAATTTTTCAAACACTAGTGAGCCCCATTTGTAAGGGAAATTAAAGCCTTCGTGGGGGGGGCGTTTCAAAAGAAGCTGTCGTGTTTTCAAGTTACACGCCAGGAAAACCACGAAAACTCCCATGCAGCCAGCCCGTTCGCCGAGATGCTTAGGTCGAATTACCAGAATTGCACATTCCTACTGCTTGGGTGACAGTGGGGCATGTCATGGTTAAAAGCCGTCAGCCGAATAAAGTTTATTGCATTATAAAATGCATTATAAAGGAAGCATGAAAAGATTAAAATAGTATTTTATTCATGTTTTGTAAGTCATTTTGACTTACAAAACATGAATAAAATTAGTATCCTGAACACCAGCTTCTGGCAGCAATATTAGCTCTTACAATTATTAGAAGTGGAGCCGAATAGACTTTGCGAATTAATCCTTGCGACAGAATAGCGGTTATGACTATCGGAATCCTTACGGCTTCTGCTCTGTGCGAGAAGTCGTTCGAGTCTCCAGAATATTTCGTGAACCGTTTTCATTGGATGAGGGATAAGAAGAATGCACCTTTCAAATTAAGAGTCCAACGTTCTTTACATTGAGAAAACGTGAGATAGAATGGGCAGTATGCGATGTCGCATTATTCTGTTGATAGGAAATAGGCACAGATGATATGGCACAGCGACGACTTTAAGACCTCAGTACGAAGTGGACGTAAACGAGATGTGTGCTCGAGTTGCACAAAATACCATCGCTCAAGGTATTATGCTAGTATGACGATGATAAGCTTCCTTCCTACAATGACAAGGTAAAGAAGGGTTCGCATGTAGCTGTACAATTCTTAATAGCTACGTGGAAAGTATATTTGAATGAGTATTTTTTAGATTACTGTCGTCGTGGACGTGTGCGTTCCTCTTAGAATTATTGACTACAAGTTCTCATTGCAGTTATTGGATCGCGACCAACGCCAGCAGTTTTTATGTGATGATCCACTGTGTTAGGGACAATACATCTCTTGTAATTGAATTTCTGAGGCAGGTTGGTATGATTTCTTTCTTCTACACGAGAGACCACACCAGCTAGCGATTGGTTAAGATCGCTGAATGCTTGGATTTCAACACAAGTTGAATCCAATGGGCTTGCTATTTCAGCATAACAGGTAGATGAGCTGGCTGTTCCAGTGATCGTGCTATTCCCTATATGTAACATGAATACGAGAGGAGAAAGAAAGAGTAAACTCGTTTTCCAACGAATGAAATATCGTCATTACAGTCAGAGTTTAATAGCTCTTAAAGATGCCATTATTTTTGCCTGCAGAGTGCGCTTTGCGTTAAATAATAATCATTTCCATATACCAACATGTTCTTTCTTTCACTCAAACTCCAGGCTTATTGCGGGCTTCTTTCATGGAATAGGAACTTTAATAGCTAGTTGTGCATTAGAATTTGAAGCTTCGATCTTTTATCAACACAACAGGAATACTTAACTACAAGTCGGAGCAAAATCTAAAAAAATAATCTATTAGTACATGATTAAAATGGAACAGAGAACTTGACAGTTTATACAGACTTTGCCTGATGTAAAATGTACTGATGCCAGGTGAGTCTATCATCTATAATAACACTGAAGTACTTGAAGTGTTGAAGGTTATTTATGTTTCCTCCTCAAAGTTTTATTCTTGGAATAATTTTCTATCTCTTTTCGTGGTTTACCACGATATTCTGCATTCTAGCAGCTGAAATTGCAAGTTGGTGTTCTTCTGCCCAGTTGAAAATTTTATCCACGGTCTACTGGGCATGCGTTTCATATTCTCTTTTGTTGTAAACAATGGTTACTATCAAAAAGTCGTCCGCGCATGCAAGACTTTCAATGTCGCACGCAATTGTAGCAAAAAACAGAAAGAGCAGAGTCAAGCACTCTGCTCTTTCGTAAAAGGTTCGTAAAAGTGGTTACCGAAACAAGTCGAAGATGTCTTGAATGTCAACTTAAATGATCAGGTTATGCAATTTGTTCCGTTTAGATTTTATTAAGTACGTAATAAAGAGACTCCTTCTCTGAAGCCACATTGCTGCACCCAGAGTATGCTGTTAGATATGATGAAATAATTCAATCTAAGCAAAATAACCTTTTCCAGCACTTTAACGAAATCGGAGAAAAGACAGATGAACTGATGTGAAATTGCTTCAGACGTGTCTTTTTCTCCTTTCAGAAATACCGCCACTTAAGTTTTCTTAGTAGGTACAGGGAAATGATTGCTTCCACCAAGCGAAGATATACAGGATGTCCAACAAAGGAGTCCTTGATTTCAAGATTAAAAATCTCGAAAGCAAAGATCGGTAGAGGAATGCAGCAAGAGTACGTTTATTGGGAAAGCTGTACGGTTAATACACCAGTGGTTCCAAATAATATGTACAAAATTTGAAAACAGATGGCGCTGTAATCGCAATACAGAGTGTATATAAACAGCGCTCCAAAAGACGTAAGAATGATGAGTTCCACCCTTCAAACGTAAAAAGAGATTATGGAAGGAAGAAGTTGAAATCATGTGTTCCATTGAACAACGTGTGTTTCTGTTAATGGAATCTCAGAGATTTAGTCATGTGGCAATAAGGCGTCGTATTCAAACACCATTCATTATTCTCAAAGTACTCGATGTGAAACCATTCCCAAGTTCTTCGCTAAATATATAACGGACAGGCAGAGCGTGCCTGTTGATCTGGTATGGAGTTTTGGTCACAGACAAGCTATAGTTACTCTTGGAAATGTCGCAACTATTTCTGGACTTATTCAGCAAAATCCAAGGAAATCCGTCCGAAGAATTGCAGCAATGACTGCTTTGAAGCGCTCGAGCACCCAGAAAATACCAGGAACCAGCCTAAACATACTTCCATTCACAATCTAGAGTCACCAGGTGCCAGCGTACAGCGCCGTCTTTTAGCAGCTTTTGTAACTATTATTTCAAAACTTCCATATAACAGTTTTACGGCTTTTACAATAAGTATACCGCTTGTTGTATTTCTCTATCGAGTTTTGTTTTCGAGATTTTTAATTTTGAAATCATGGACTCCTTTGTTGAACATCCTGTAAGATTTTAACGTATCAGCATGTGCGCTAAGTACGACACCTATAATGTTATTGTCGATCCTATCTGGTCCTGGCAATTTCTCGGAATGTGCTAAAAATGTTCAAGATTTCTCTAGTTGTTGGCTTAGGCTCAGTGTCCGGAATGTAAAGATTATCATACAAACTAACCTTCTTCTGGTTGCATCTTGTTCAGGATGTCTGCACCAGGCTTTCTTGCTTGAATGTAATCCTGATAATGTGTGCTACAATTTGAAGTGTGGAACTATTCTCACTCAGACTGTATGGGTAATTAACCTTTGCCATGTGCCATTTTGTCCATTTCTCATATTGCGCTTGTTTCTGTACAGTGTTTTTACCATGATAGCGGCTTGAGCTTGTTGAGTAACCTCTTATGGCAGCCCTATGGCGCCTGAAATTAATTGTAAGGGTTAAACTTTCCTCACAATCATGGCAGCTTTGAACCACGGACATAATGCCCTAACATGTTTTCTTACTGCGTATTAGCATTGTGTGTTCTTGCATGATTTGAGATGCTGCATAGAAAGGTCATAAATATGATAGTAGCAAGCATTCCTTAGTGCAAATGTCGTAGAGAATTTTTCTTGGCTTTAGCTGTTTATTCTTATCAGTTGTAGTAGCAAGAAATCAATGTTTTTTAATAAAATATTTGCTGATTAGGCTTCTTCTCATTAGTATTATTATTATTGTCACTTAAGCATTCGAACACGACCTGTCTTAAAATAAATTCGGACGGACTTTCTAATAAACCTTAATTGGAATTCACGTTAGATACAGTGAACGTCACGAAAATCAATTTTGCTTCTGGAAACAGAAGAATCTTAGTACACAGTACCGTTGATTAGATATTTTATCCATTTGGTCATTATCAGTCGAAGTTTAAAATAAACAGTTCATGAAAATGCATTATTTATATTGCAGCGTAGGTGAATTTATCAAACAAATGAAGAGTAAAGTACTCAAATGAAGACATTTTTTTCGAACGGAATAATTAACCACTCATTTATGAA